CTGATTGTATTTCCGTTGGCGTCATAGGTTTGTCAAATACCGTTTCTTTCTGTCCAATCACTCCCACCGCGATCTAACCATTAATAATATACTTTAGAGTTAAAATTCAAATTTAGAATCTATATTTTAATACCTGTTTTCCTTTGACTAGTACACCCGTGATAAAAGGACTGATACTGTCTACTGTGTGGTGTAATAGACTGCTACAATAACGTACGACCATCCAGAACCTTAAAGATCCAGCTTGTTGATATAATGATCTCAAATTGTCACGAACTGAAAAATAAAAAATATACAGATCGATGTATATCCAAAATGATAAATGAAAGGTAAAGTCTACAAATAATAAAGAAGAAAAATACCTGTCACTCCATTGATTTCGTAATTAATTCCTTCTCGTTTTATCAGAATACCATACAATTGGCATTTGGCGTACAAGCCAATGCTATTACGAAGTTCGTTTAATATGTTGCCAAGAGATTCATTTGACATATACTGGAAATATAGAATATCGATTACCAATTGCTTTCAATTTATTAGAAATTTAAGTTTTTAACATGATTTCATACAGAATAGTCCTTAAAGCTTTCAGAATAAGCGATGGCCTTTGGAACATCCGTGAGACTCTGGTAACCAATATAATCGTGCTGCAATTGTTTAAACTGTGTCAAGTCCAGATCTGTTTCCATACTATTTACGAAGTCCAAGTGCTCTGTATACAATTAACATGAATGTTATCATCATGTATAATGGTGCATGAAAAAGTAGCCCAATCTTAAAAGAAGTGATTCAATTTTATCTTTTTTTTTATGAATCAAAAGATAAATATTATTATTAATTATATAATATTTATTATATCTTAATATTATGAAAAAATGTCAATATATATTAAAAAATGCATCATTTGAAAAATTATGCTAAATTTTAATATAAAACATAACATTAAAATCAAGCCAGTTTTTTTATACACTATTTGATTTATATAGATATTAATCTTATATGAAATATTACCGATGCAAGAAGATGAGATCAAATTTTGCAACCGGCCGATACGTACTTTCGTCTTATCACAATAGCCTTTTTTTAACATCGCAAAGAGGTCTAACATCTTTTTAAATTGTGGATCACTAAACAAATTTTTGTTAAGGTAAGTTAATTCTTGCAACCTATTCATAAATGTGTTCATAAAAACTTACCGCATGTGCTCTTCTCGTATCAAAAGACATACAGTGGGTCGACCAGAAAGACGCCAGTACTTGCCCACAAATTGCAATTCCGTTTTGATATCATCGATCAGTAGAGCCATGTCTCTGTACAAATAAAACTCAGAGACTTCGAAGATCAAAGGATAACACAGTACTGTCATACCACAGACTCTGTACACCTATATATGAGAAAGAATTCGTCTGCCTTATTATTTTATATATTACATGATAAATATATCATTGTATATACAAGCTTTCTATTTTTTTTAAAGGAAGAATATAAAATCACACATACTTTACTTGTACCTAAAGATCCTATAGGCCGTGCTGGTCGCCCCTGAAGATTCAACTTCTTGTTTACTCCTAACTTTTGATAAACCTTCACTAGCTGAGTGGACGACAGAATCTGAACGGGCTCGACTTCATGCGGCGTTTGTGTCTGAATGCCATATGTGGCCATCATGGCTTGCAATCGCATAGATTCTGCGATTAGAACTATTTGTACTACTAGGTCGGTATGAGTGCCCTGACATAAATATAACAGTGCTCATAAATTACATGCAGCATGAGGATATTTAGTCATATAAATAAAAATAGCAGTCATTTTTTGAAATTTTAACTAGCGTATATATAATTGTGTAAATTCGTGACAAGCTTAAGAAGCCTATGAAGTAAATAATAAATTGCAAATGAAAAACACGTGTTAGATTTTCTACAATATTACATGCTAAGATTATAATACGTTGCAAAACTTCATAAATAAAATCATTAAAAGTCAGAAATAAATGCACGTTATTACATACACTGTACTATCATATTAGCAGGCATACACTTTATATTACTTACAATAGTAGGCTTTGCCTGTGTAAATAAAGAAAGAAAAATATAAAAAAATTATTAATTTTTATTATTATTTATTAATTTTTATAATTATGAATTACAAAAATTAATTAAATTTAAAACAATTAAATATCTCTCTAAATTATTGTGAGACAGTACACACAATTTATATTAAAAAGTTAACATAATGTATCGCTTAATTTAAGGACAAAGGTCTAGTGAAATAAATTTATATTTTTGAATCTAGTGAGATAAATATTTTTGGGGGATTTGATACGATTATACTCAAATCAAGCAAAGTAATAGATTAATACATGTATTTATTTAAAATATAGAACTTATACATATTTGAAATATAATTTTTTTCTCGTTTACCTGGAAAGCAGAATATCTTCCTGCTCGCCTCGGACGATTATACGATGGAAGATATCGACGAACAGGATCTAATTCGTTGATGTGCAGAAGACCAGCAGTGAGTAGCTGTGCAATTACAAACATAGCTTGATTCCATAAATATATTGGTGTAACATCGTCCATAAATTTAGGGCCTCTCCCTTCATCACTGGGTAGCCGATAAGCACTGCACGGCTCGTTCCTTTCAGTTTCCAAATTTTCCACGGGTACATAATAGCACATAGGAACAATCGGATCTATACTAGGCAAAACAAATTTTATTTATGTGACTCCTAGTTATACGTATAATCGAAGATTTAAGACATTATTTGTATTATAGGCATTGCTTGAATAAAACTAGAGATATTATTTAAATATTCAAGAACCTCCATTCAAATCCTTTTGCACTCTTGCTTTCAATAAATTTTGATATTCTTCCACTTGTTCCTGTAGACTCTTGAATACACCATCTATTATCATAAAAATGTAAAACAATGGCCATTCGCATTCGATATTGTCGAAATCCTGTTGAAACAAGTCATCAGTTACTGTATTAAAATTCGTAGTTCTTATCTGCGACGAATGTTATAAATTTTAGGACCTTTATCTCCCCAGATTTGTAATATCGTCGCTGTTTGTCCTCCAATACAGTTTTATAACCGTCTCTTCCGAAACGTTTAAAACCATAATTGCCTTTTAGCCTGCGGACTATGCTCGCTTTTGTTTCATTGTACAATACTTCTTCATGAGTTGCAAAGGCAGGAAAGGATATTGTTGGCAGCAAGGCCGCGTCTACACTCTAGAAATTACATATCTCTTATCAAAATTGGTCCGAGTATTTTATACAATTGAGATTGCTTACTTTCGAACTGGATTCTCTTGGAAGCATTGTTTCGAAAATACTACGATTGCGATTGTGAGCATCAATATCAACGTATATCACAGACCAAGATGCACCTTTTTCACCAAATAAATTACAGCCATTAATTGCCTCTAATGCGCTCTTGGCGATTCCAATGGAGCTGGCGTGAATCTCAGGTGTTCCATCGTTATATCGACTTCCACGTTCCCACATACCGTAATCTGGTGTACGATACGCTCTTTCAACATAATATACCAGATTTTGCACAAAAGCCACTTCGTCTTGCGTATATATAATTTGTAGCCCAGAGGAAATCATTTGCACTAAGAATATTAAGTAAAGAGATACGATGTCTATCTACATTGAACAGAATAAATATGTGCCATAATTAAGAAAATATTTCAATTGTTATATAATAATACTGAAAACACCATACTAATTATGTCCTATTTTACTATAATATGTTTAAGCGAATATAAATTATTATACATATTTCCTGTATCATTGAAATTATTAGTGCTTTACAGAAATATGTAATATTATTATTGCTTACTTGTAAATGATGGTAATCAATATCCTTGTAGATTTCATCGCCAGTATCCAAATGAAACTTGCAGTGTAAAGCATAACGGTCGCATTGATTTTTCTTAAAAAGTTCTATTCTGGAAGACTGTTTTATCCAACATTCTAAGATACCTCGCATGCACTTTATTGTGGACTGTCCTAGCTCATATGATTTTCCACGATCATCATCTATACGTCTATATGCTTGATACAAACTCCATATGGCAGCTGCGCAATATATACTTTCGCGTACACTGCCAACCTTCCGATCGCTTGAAATCTGTGGGAACAGGCCAGTTATGCAGCTCTGATAGCGCAGTAATTGTCTCTTAACGATTCCATAATATATGTCCAATTGTTTAACAGTGTCCTCGTAATTAGATATCTTGAGAAACATTTCAGCGTCAATATCTATCACACTGCCTTGTCGTATATTTCTGATCTGTGTAATTCTACAACATAAGGAAAAATAAACTTTATTAAAAATCTTTTGCATCGACCATTTCTTTCAATATAACAAATCTCACAGACCTCTTCGTAGCATTCAACGGTGTTGAAGTAGCCATTTTATTCAAAATGTGTACAAGCTATTTTTGATTTAATATACCTACAAACAAGTTCTCACGTGTATATAGATATATTTCGAAATTTACTGCAGTACTACAAATCTATAGTTACATATGCTATAAATTCTCAATATTATCATGCAATACATTTGAGAATTCAGTTTATTATCAACAGTTATATCTATGCATTCTATCTCAATAAAGTAGAATATCATATTTCATGTGTAACACCTGAATAATCAACAGTTCATTCTTCTTGTCAAATTCAGCTTGATGTCCTTCAGTGGTCCTTGAGTTCTTTTTTCATTAAAAGCCGGCCTTTTTTATTGGAGCAAAAAATACATAACACAGAATGACCTTCGAGGGGTCGCAAAATCAGCTGTGATGCTGTGATCAGCTGATGCAGCTAGGCTGCGTTCAGAAGCCACTCAGATAGCATTTAAGTCCGATATATATTAGAGTCCCTCTAATCTACATAAAAGGAGACGTAAGCAAATCGACCAATCACAGTCGAGCGTTTTAAAACGTGAGATCGCAAATTTTGATTGTGATCGGGCTTAAATACAGAACGCAGATCGCAGATCGCAAACTTGTTGCAGTCAATTCAATGTATCAGTTTAAAAAATGACGCTTCGAGATTGGCTTACAATTTCATACACTATACAGCGAAGCTTCGCTGATGAAAACCCGGAAACTTCCCACTCCGACAAATCGTAGCGATGCCGATGCGTAGTAGACTCCGACGCGTAGCCACGTGTGTTTCACTCAAGGTTCTGCCTCGTGAAGCCAATATTAAATTGTAATCTAATCGATGTCACGATTAGACTATTATGACGAAGTAGAAATCGAAGATTTCGAGTACGACGAGGACGAGGAAGTTTATTACTATCCCTGTCCATGTGGTGATCAATTCCAAATATCTCTTTCCGACCTGGCCGCCGGCGAAGAAGAAGTTACATGTCCCTCGTGTTCCCTTGTGATCAAGGTGATTTACGATAGGGAGGTCTTTCGTATTAAGCAAGAAGAGCTTGAAAAGAAAAGCGATAAAAAAGAGTTAGCAACTCAACAAGTTTAAGGTAAAAAAAGTTATTCCGAAAATTTTCTGAGATAGGTTAGGATTGTGCTAGAAAAATATAATTTTACATCAAAATAAACAAAAATTTCAATACACGAAACTATGATCCACTGATTGCTTTGAAAGTTATAGAGACAGATATTTGTCTAGATGAGTGTTTATTTTTGTGTCCTATGTTCTCTTGTTATCTTTGATTTCTTTGTACTTAGTTAACAGAGTGTTGCTAAATACGATTGTCGCTTTCTTACTTTCATATCGTTTAAGCAATTAAATATTAATAATGTAAGTTTTAGTAATTTCGCGTTAAATTTTACTAATTTTTATCTAATTTGGCTATTAAAATTTTATATAACTTTTGATGATTTTTATTTTATTTATCCATTTTATTTTCTTATTGTTAAAGGAAATTTTGATTTTTGAATCAAAACATATATTTGTAAAATTATTTGATTATTGAATATAAATTGTAACCTAATTTATGAATTTCCTTATATAACTTTCTTAAAAATATTGCATGATCCTTAACTTTAATATCTGAATAATTTATTAAAACATTGTTTTATCAATTAATACATTATATCAGGTCATCGGACGAAAAAGATAGCAATATCGAGAACAAAATGACAGGACGTAGAGGACGATGGCATGGCAGTAGAGGAAGATCTGCTATGCCCTTTTCCATAGAACAGTTTATCTCTAAAGGAGAAACACTACCAACACCAGTTTCGCAACCATCTTCAAGTTATCCTCCGTTGGAGCGCAAACCTCCACCTATTCAAATAACCAGCGAGATGGAGTATCTAGTGGGATTGAAAAGGCATTTCACTGAATATATGCGAGAGTCACCATATTATGTGAAAGCTCCTGTTGTAAATGAAGATATTGAACGATACAGCGATGCTTTTAAAGAAGATTTCACAGACAATGATGAATCGAAATATGAGAAGTACCATGATTGGAGCTTAATGCCTGAGGAATTAAAAGCGGTGAGAAAACGAAAACCCCGGCAGCATACAGGAAATAGGAAGAAAAAGGACATGGATATTATGAAAAAGTTGTCAGAATTGGAGAAAAAAGAAAATATGCAAGAAGAGGAAGATAAAGAAGAAGGGAATGAAGAGGAGAATGGTGAAGAAAAGGAAGATGGTGCAAGGGAGGAGGAGCAAGATGAGATGGATATTGGGACTGATTATACAATTGAACACACTGATAATGGCGAAATTGAAACCGATGATGAAACTGACGACGTGTCTTTTGTTACATAAATACTTGTATGTTTCAGTAAAATTTTTTTTTATATCTTGCTCTTTTATCTGTCAGACATTTTCAAAGCTTTAATCACAAGTAGAGTTGAAAAGGCATTTCACCGAGTATACTATATGTAAGAGTCGAATGTAAATATGTCGTCAAATTATGTGAAAACTGCTGTTGAAAATGAAGATATTAAACAATATTTTTAAAGACGATTTCACAGAAAATGATGAATCAAAAGATAAGGGCGCCGAGAAACTGAAAACCCTTTTACTGCAAATTTACCGTGGTTACTGCAAATTCACTTAAATTACGTAAGATTTTTATTCTTTATAATTTCTCACTTAATTTTAATTTTATTGTTTAGAGAAAACCGATTAGCGCGTAAGTTAATGAGAATGTCAAAAGATTGTGTTCATATATATGTGACTCACTACTAAACATAATATAGACTGAATAAATAATATTGGTTTATTTTTTTTTTTTTTCTTAGAACAAATTCTCCATAACATCGTTCTTCTTGTTCTTCTTCTGTTAGGCCTCTGGCTTGTGTTACACCTCTTTCATATTTATGCTGATTATTTGCTACGAAGTATATGAAGCCTACAATTTTAATGACGATTCCGAACGGTGGATTTTTCGAGAGGAGTTTCTGTGAATAAGGATATTCTCTGAAGATTGTCGGCCTTTTTTGAGAGGAGACACGAGCGTAAATATTTGATTGCTACCGAGATCGAACCCGGGACTTCTGGCATGACAGACCAGTATATTGTCTGCCATGCCACTCTCGTGCTTGTTAACATCGATTTTTAATTTCAAATAACGATGGGACATAAATACGTTTAGCTTTTCTTTGCTATTCTCTCGTTATTGATAGGGAAGGAAAGGATTCGTCGTAACATGTGGATATACAATAATTCGAAGTAGGGGGCACGTAGCGTGACAATTAAAATAGTCTAGAAATCACAGGAAGCGTCGGCGTGTTTTTTTATTACGAGTATTTCACAATTTCTAATATATAATATATTTATATAATATATATAGCCATAATAATCTGCAATTGTAATAAATGACCCTTTTCTATGATGCCATCGGATAGTACAAACGCAATGTTTCTTGGGGTGAATGACTGGGAAAAGGGGGAGGTAGAGGGGGAGGAAGGAGTAAAAAGATAGAGGAATGGTATGTAGAATACGCAAAAATATCATAGCGTTTATAATGCTCGTTATGTATACGTTAAGTTTTAATGATTTCATCCCGTGTTTATATATGTATATATTTTTTTCCTTTATTTCTCTAATGAATTGCCGACCGCGAATTAAGCACTTTAAAAATCCGTGTATTATAAGGAAACAAAAATTAAATCGCAGAGAGAAAGTTTTCCGAACTCCCGTAAAACTTCCAGTCACTGGATCATTCGTCGTTCTTCTAAGACCGAGTCCGTTATCAGAGGATATCTTAGAACTATTGAGAGATCCGAATTCTTTGCAATAAATAACCCGGAAAGGGAAAGAAATTGCGCGAAATTTTTCTTTAATTTGACGCGATGTGATGTAAATTTAGAATGCGATGGCAGTAAATCGCAAAAATAATTCCGTTCATTACTACTTTTTTTATCAAAAATTCGGAATTCTTCGACCGAGTCAAATCGTTCTAAGTTGCAAGGTCTAATAAAGCACTTGGGAGTTATCGCAAATGATTTGAACTTAATTATTTATATAACGAGCCGTATATCTTTCATGCGGAATTATGCGTGCAAAAAAAATAATACATCTTTTACATTTCATGATTTTAAACGATATAAGATCAATAACAGTATCAGATCGATACTAATTGAGCCAATTAAACTACATGTACGGTAATAAAAATTCTTCACAAATAAGTTACATTACAAAATATAACATTTAACATACGATATGTATATGTACATTTGTATATACCTATACATGTATGTTTCATATACAATGAAGTAAACAAGTGTAAAGAAAGAATTAATAAAATTGTTATAAACAGTAAGATTGTTATGGATTATAATTTTGACTTATCAACACTTTGCACTTTGATACTGAAGAGTGTGGTGCGAAAATATAATTCAGAAGAATCTTAATTCAAAGTTGTATATAAAATAAGAGGGATATTTTGATTGATACTATAATAGGAATGACTGATAGAACTGAATTTTGTAATAAGCTTTAAAGCGCTTTTCACTTTCATTAGATTTGTTGAATTATGTGAACAACTAAAATAATAAGTATCTGATTAAAATGATTGCACATTGTAATAAGACAAATCAAGTAAAAAAGCTAATTAACGATTTATCCACTAATATCTATTAATGATTTAACTGATATATCGTATTGTTCGTGTAAATCGTTCTTAATAAAACAGTTTAAGATAAAATCTCTCAATATGAAGGCGTGTAACAATCCCGAGTCCATGGTGTAAATATCCACCATGGACATATACACCATGCCCGAGTCATCGATGATATTCTCACTAGGAAATTAATTCGGAATTATTTGCAGTTATCTAATTGTTACAATATTTCTTGTGATCACGTTTCTTAATTTCCTTTTCGTTGCATTATAAAATAGGTAATTATTATACTTATATTATGGGCGAGGCAGAAAATTAGGTGACAATTTGACGATCATGCACTCGGCAATGTCCGAAAGACATTAAATTCTCCGAAAATTAATTTCATAACGGAGTTATTGAGATGATGTTACTTGGTTATATATTTGAAATGTATTTACATTTGAATTCTTCAGGGTTTTTTACCTCAGGTTTCTCTCTTCGCGCAATTCTACGACATGTCATTTTTTCATTAATATCTATAACATTTATATTAGCAAAATCGATTCTTTTCGTAAATGATGTTCAATTACATTCTTCGGAACGTCTTATTTTCTCTTGAAACCTTTTTTCTAATACTTTCGCATAATTAGAAGACAGCATACAATTAGCGTTATCCAGCACTCTAATTTGTCGCGATGAAAAAAAGCTGTCTTGCTAATCGATAAGAATTCATGTCTTCAGTAATGATTATCTTCCTACTTTCGTCAACAAAAACGAGTGGCAAAAACATAGAATATTTTAAGGAACTACGTACATTCCGCTTGTGGACAGCCTTTTCACAGCTTTCCTTTATCTACATTTTCATCACAATATTCAAATGTGCTCTGATTAGAATATGAAAAAGAGCAAAAAGCATATCTTTGAAAACGATAATATACATCCACAACGTATATAATTATAGCTATGAGCGTATGAATCTCGCAACACGCTCCGATGGCAACTTTCAGACACCAGAATTTCAAATTAGGTATCTTATCGATCACAAATTTAGAAAAAACGATACCTCACAGTTTGATATTTTAAGAAGTGCTTACAAATAAATTTATCGAATCGATACGAATGGAGAACTATTAATGAAGATGTTAACGATGAAGTCGTTAAATGGATGTAATACTTGCTTTCGCTTTTGGTCGTTTTGGACAAATGGGAAACGTCATTTCTCACGGATCGAATCGCAATCTAATTCATGCGGCGTGACGTTCTGAAAATCACAGGACAGGTCTGCTTCTGTATTCGGACGGGCAGTGTGAGCTTGCGAGATACTTCTTCAACGTGTTTGAAAAAAAAGTCAGTTACAACAAGCCATACATACACAGTTTTCGCTTCAATAGCGTCGCTTATGACGAATCGCTCGGACTTTGACTGCGAAAAAAAAGAAACACCTGTCTCGTTTAAGAAAAACATTTTAAATTAAACACTATCCGCTATCATATACATTTAAGATCACGATGGCTCTATAAGTCAGCTTACAAGAAAGAGCAATCTTAAATAACGTGGAATAAAACAAGATAAAGTTAATTGAAATAAAATAAAATGTATATCGAGTATAATAGAAACATTTATTTTCAATATTTTTGTGATAATAAATTTATTAATGTTTAGAAATTTGTAGTGTGATAAGAGAACTTTTTGTCTCTGAATTGATTAAAACCTCTTATTTGAACAGATCGGCATGAGCAGAGCTAACGATATGTATTTAACCCAAATACTAGACTGAATGCCAAGTAGGTGCTCGCGATAAAGGGCGCAAAAGGGCAATAATTGCATTGGAATTGCATCGGCAAACGAATTTGGGGCTGCAGTCAACCCTTTCATCATCACTTGATGCTACAAAGCGTTCCATGTCTGTGATATAACAGTTTGTGATTAGAACTCCCTATCAAGGAAATTTTAAAATTCAAAAGCACGTTTGAAAGACGTCGTGACAATTTGAAAATTGTCCTAATTTTTTATCTTTTTTTAATATATTTCAGACGTCGTCCATTTCATGATGCAATTTTGAAAAAAAAAAGTCATCGACATTTTGTTTATATATGCACCGTAGTGAGAGAATTATCTCGAGTTTCACGAATCGGAATCGCGCGACTTATTCTAGATGTCATGCTTTTTTTTTTTTATTTTTTTCATCAATTTAGTATTTCGCTAACAATTCTTTTAACGTTGAATAAGAATACTTAATTCTGCGTTACAAACGCGACATCGAAAGCCGAAAGGCGAAGGTACAAAAAGGATCACATTGTCACTCAATAAAATGTCTCAATAATCCATCGCATTCCTATACATTAAGTAAAACATCATTCTCTGGATGAAAAATTAGGCCGACTTTTTACGCAATGGACTTTCAGCGGGAAGCGCTACTGTGCGATTCATGCAGATGTAATATGTTTTCTCCAGTGGTCCTCAGATTTTTCTGTATTTTCCAAATAACTTCAGAATTATTGTAAGAGAAATAAAATAAATATTAAAAGCAATAAGTGTTGTAATTGTTTTGTAGACACTCTACAAAAGAAAAATTTTAATCACAAAAGGAAGATTTTAACAATGCATTTTCTTAATATAACTAAAATATATAATACAATTGTTATTTTTTGTAATTAAACAATAAAATAGACATAAGAAAATTAAAATATATTAAAATTCATAATGAAATGCAATATAAAATCTGGGAATCACTGATTAACTTGAAGCTTCTACAATAGCTAAATCTTTAGATGCGCTGGATGAAATTTGTTTATCTTTTCCCTACAATCAAGTCAACGATAATCCTTACATTCAAAATCGTTATGTCGAAATCACATTTAGGACCGAGCAACAGTAAGTTGAGATAATAATTCTCGTTTTCTTTCGTGTTGAATCCAGCCCGAATCCTTGTCCTATCTGTCAAATTTCTCGTCAAATTGTTCGCTCTGACTCGTTCCTTTCATATATTTAGTGTCTTGTGTGTATTATTTAGTATCATTATCATTAGCATTATTATCGTTACATATATGTTGCTTCACTACGGTTGATTGGCTTTTGGACGTGGATCTGGATGGAGTGTGGTGTATATACCATGCGCTCGCGTGAAAGAGACAGAGAAAAGCTCCAACATTATCTTCTTTCTGTCTCGCGGCGTCTTCGAACGAGGACGAGCGAGTGTTCTCGGAATATTTCTTGGTTCATTTATCCGACTGTGAATGATGAAAATGGAGTGTTTATAGTAAAACACATCAAATTTTTACGCTTAAATATATGGTTAATAATTTGTAATTAATTTGTGTCAATAAAATCTTGAATAAATACTTTCCATATTTCTTTTTTTTTTCTTCTTTATTTTATATTTGTAAAAATCTAATTTATTTATTTATTCTTTAGTATTATACGGAGTTTTTAATAATAAGATAAATCTTTTTGAAATTTATTGCAAGTCCGAACCTCGCTCGTCATCGATCTCTGAGTCTAGACTTTTTTTGCTGTCGTCATTGTTTTCTTCAAAAAGGAACGTATGAAAGAATATATATTTGCGTAAGAAATCAGACGGAATACATAGCATGCAGAGCGGATAGGTAGCGTCCATCAATCTTCGTTTTTTTTTTTTGTCATTTTCTTCTCTTGATGAGCGTGATTTCGATTTGTTATCGATTTAGAAATTTGCGTATTTATGATAAATTTGATGTTTTTTTCAATCGAGTGTAACATCAAATCACGTCGTTATCATCATTATCATTATCACTATCCTCTATATATTTTTCTTCTTTTTCATCGTCATCATCATTATCACATACACATAGCGACATTTCGTGTTAAATCGTAAACGTGAAGATGTTCAATGCGCTATGTTACTTTGTGTGAAAAAACACTACGCCTCACTACAATAATTCATTTCCTTTCATACGTGAAGACTAAATTGGGCCGTGAATTTTTTGAAACTACGCTTGTGACTCGCATCTCCCGACCATTTGCACCGCGATACATAACCAAGTGAAAATTAATTGTTTCGAATTCTTATAATATTATATTAAAGATGTTCTAAGGAATATTTTTAATATAATATTATAGTAATATAATATAATATTGTATACAAATATAATTGTATGATTTCTTTATATCACTTGCAATCAATCACTAAGCTTGTGACATAATATCATTTTCAGCTTTTTGAGAACTGAATAATATAAATTATTACTCTTTTTTAAAGAAAGCTTCCTGGATTTTTTATTTCTTGAAATATAATTATTGAGCATCATGTTTTGTCAAAAATATCAATCTTTATCAGCTTTTAAATAATTAATCGATGCTGTGCTTCCAAGTAGAATTTAATTAAAAATAAATTTTACACACGATATAGAAATTATATCTAAAACCATATTTTGAAATCGATCGAAAAGAATTGTTTACTTTATAATATCTTTCAGTGAAGAAATTAACAAACTTGTCTATAAAATCACATGCGAAACGATCGAGATGCGATTTAAAGATGGAGTAAATTCTTTCGTGGCGACAATACGTGCGTTAAGAGAGATCTCT